AAAGTGTAGGGTTTAGAGGATAATTGTTAGTAGCACGGTCGTAGGTGGCGTTTTCAATGTGGGGATTGTGTGACATATAGTTTTCTTTAAAACGAATAGTTTTACTCTTTTGAAGAATGACAATTTATTTTTTGCGACAAATAGTTTTTTGCTACTATCCTTAAGACTTTTGTATTGAGATATAATTAACAAAAAACAAAAAAATGACGATGGATGTTTAAGAAATTTACTTTATTAGGGTAGATGCAATGTATTCGTGAAAGATGCAACTTAAAAACGTAAATATAAACTGAAACCAAATCAAATAAGATTCAGTTTAATCACTTTCAGTTATTGAGCCTACTTAAAAAATCAAATTCAAATTAAGTTTTCTTTTTTAAATAAACAGAATAATCCTAAAACCAAACAAAATAATACAAAGCTCATGCGGTGTGGGTTGGTTTTGATTTTTTTTACAACACATAGCAATGTCGACTAAATGATTATATTAGTCAATGGATTTTTAGGTATCAAATCTCATGAAAAAGATGTCACAAAATCACGTATTTTTGAACAAATACAGTTTTATTTTTTATTACAATATAACAATATATATATATATATATATATATATATATATATATATATATATATATATATATATATATATATATAGGGGAGGGTTCATGCGAAAATGCAAATAATTTGCGAAAACGCGAAAACAAGAAAACCATATGATATTATGTCACCTCAACATTATATTTTGGAAAATAATTCATCTAAACTTTGAAATACATGATGATAATCGATGATAGATGATAGACTATTTCATATTAGCAAAGTATGATTTTTAACATTTTTATTATGAAAACATGAATTTAAAAATGATTAAGGACGTGAAAAAAATATAATTATAAAAACTGTCTTTAAATCTATATTATCATAACACCATCTAATGTAAACTTACTATCTTTAATTTATTGCTAATAAAATTATTTTTTTATAGTACATGTATCTAATTTTCATAAGATAAAAGCTGTTTTCGCGTTTTCGCAGGATATTTATATTTTCGCATGAACTTACTTCTATATATATATATATATATATATATATATATATATATATATATATATATATATATATATATATATATATATATATATATATATATATATACTAGAAAAGTTTGAGGCCCGTGCTAAGCACGACCCATGGAGGGTAATTTGGGTATTTCTTTTATCGTTATCTAAAGTATATTGTACTAATAACCAAAAAAGTGAAAGTATAATGCTATAAATGGGTAGATTTCCAATGTATAATGCCTGAGGTTTCAGTAATTCTATCTGCAACAAAAAATTATACAACACAACGATAACCACAAACACCCTGAATTATCAAGAAGTCTAAAGTTAAATGACATGTAGTCGATTTGAAAATACAATTTACAATAAAGTCTTAAATAACGGACACAAAGAATAAGCGCAAACATGTTGACACTTTATCTATAACAAAACCATCCGTACGTACAACTAACAGAAAGAAAACCAAACCAGAAAACACACATTTTCCACAGTAGCTTGCAAGTGTTGGAGTTCACCATCTTGAGATAACATAAAATTATTATTTATTCTATAGTTCATGTGAATAATTTCTTTACCTATCATTTAATAATATATATTATATATATATATATATATATATATATATATATATATATCAACTACGGAAAAAAATCTTAATAAATATTGAATAACAAGATGAAATTGTATCGGCTCGAGTGTTACAAACATTATAACATAGGGTATTATTGTAATTTAGCTTTGTTTATCACCTTATGAATTTTTTATATGAAATGCATATATGTTGTTCCTGTATGTCCCTTTAAAAAAAACAAACAAAATAATATCAAACATTAGCTTTAATGATTAAAAAATAAAAGGCATTAAAAGTTACCAGAGCAATATTAAAGGTATTTTAGCCATAATCGATGAAAAAAAAACTCATCTTGACAACTAAGGTATTTTAGCCCTAATCAATGAAAAAAACTCAACCTGACATCTAATTCATGGAAAAGAGAAGGGCTGAAATTATCAGTTAACCCAATGTCATACATGTCACTTGTTAGTCGACATTACTTGCAAAACAAGAGTTGCTTAGGATCAATCAACAAAAAAATATATGATTAAAAAAATTAACTTTATTATACTTTTTATGCAAGTATAAACTACTTATTTAGTTGTTCACTCTTGTAGTGCTTTAGATGGTACTAAATTCAAGTTTACTCTTGTTTTTAAAATTCTTGATTTTTTGCCATTAACAAATATAGTCCAATGTTAATAGGTTGATTTGTTGATCTTTTATCTTTAAGTTGTAGTTCTTTCTAGCAGGGGCGGATGCAGAATTTTACAATAGGGGTTGCATGGTAGTAGAAAAAATTAAAAAATTAAAAAATTAAAAAAATTTCGAAAAATTTTCCACTACGACCGGAAAAGTTAGGGGTTGCCGGTGCCACCGTGGACCACCCCTAGGTCCGCCTCTGCTTTCTAGTCAAGTGGTGAATTCCTTTTAGGAAAAATACACAACAATAAATTATATGGTAATATTAGTGTGTAAATGACAAATTGAGTTTAAATTTATAATGTTAGAATTAGTAAAGTTTTGTCTTACTTTGATAGTTTTATGCCTTTGGATTCAAAGTCATTAATTTTTTTTTAATCTTTTTTTATTCAAGGGATTTTATACTTTCATTTGGTCAAGTACAGGTTTCAAATCGAGTATCCCATAAGTAAAGCATCCAAAATTCATTTTTTTTTTCATAATTCCTTCATTCACATAAGAGAAGCTATACTTACTTACCGGTACTTATGTAGCGCACGTAGAAAATAAACATAAAAACCTCTTAATTCAAAGTCTTTTGCTATCAGTTCACTATAATTATTGCAACTTTGTCTACAAATACTCAAAATCTATGTCCAATTTCAAATTTAAGTATTCTCCTTTGCCATCTAAAGTCAACTTTTGCTCTCTTATTTGGAACACGAGTTATGGAATTTTTACAGAAAAACCCACTAATTATGGCATTTTTATAGAAAAATATTTGCTCGATTGTTATACTGTTATACAAAACAAGTTAAGTGTTGATTGTGGTATCATCAAGGTTAATATATTTGGAAATGTGTATCATGTCCAGGCCTATAAAGAAACTAAATCTGATTCTAAATCTTCATGCTAGCATTAATATTACAATTGGAAAAAATATTAGCAATCTCATTTAGCCTGCATCATTTACACTTATTTTAGACAAAAATGATAAAATGGTCATTTATCTGATTTAGTGGTTCAATATGTCCAGAAAAAGAAACGGTCTTCATTTGTATAGAATTTCTCATGACAATCATCATTTATCCATACAATACATCAATTAAGCACTTAAGAAAAAATAACATGTCCCAACTCAAATACATGTAACGGTGTTATTACAAAATATGAGTAACTGAATGCTTTTTGAATTGACGTAGAAATACACTATTTGTTAATTTATATAACCCTGATATTAGTGACAATTCAATACCACTAAGTTTCCACATTCAATCAGTTTTGAAAGTCAATAGGAAATGCTTATTATATTTCTTGAAACAAACCAGCATTCTTTGCTTTTTCCATTTGAAAATCAGGAAAATGTTGGTAATATATGACAAAAAGAAAACACAAAAACTATAAACAAATTTTAAATAACAAGCCAGTAAATAAAACAAAATCTAGATTCTAAAGTGAAAGTATTTAGCATTAAAACACCCGGGTTTAAAGAATATGATTAACTTAATCCTTCCAACCAAAGCCAACCTTGCTGTTTGGGTTGACTGATAACAATCATGAAAACCAACCAAGTAATTTACTTTAAAAAAATTACATCCAGACTACGTTACTTACAGGAATCCCATGCCAGGTTGCTTTATTATTTTTTTAAGACTTCAATTAAACAACCACTACCATCTAATAAGTGATACACAAAAGCATCTTCAAGTATCATGAACTACTCACTTGGTAATTGCTAATAAGATAAAGAAAAGAACAAGATACCATATTAGTAGGAATTTTTATGTAACATAGAGATAATAATCACCCATATAAAGATAGTAAGAGTTTTTCATGAGACGTAAAAAAATTTATCACAGAAAGTAGAGCATATATCATTTAGAGATGGAATTCGGTTTTACCTGATAGACATAGGTAATTAGGAACTTGATGCAATAGAAAAGACTAATGAAATTTAATTAAACCCACACAATAAAACCCTAGATAATCTGAAATTAAGTTACAAATTTTAACAAAATTCTCAAAATATAAGAGGGGAAGGACCAGTGGCAAACGACAAAAGCATGTAATCAGGACACCAAATGATTCGAACACAGGGGAAATTGTTAAAAGAAAGGTTAATAACCTCTTGAAATCAAAAGGAAATTATAAACTATGAGGGAAAAGATGGTGTTAATAAGGAGATGCTTAACCTTTGCCAATCTCCAAAAAGATTGAAGAATGGTGTTAAAGACGCAAGTCGTTAAAACACCTAAAGGGTCTCCCAATTCCATCATGAAACTTCAACAACTCCACAATTCCCGAAATATTAATTTCTTTGTGCAAAATAAAAAAGGGGTGCTTTGTCTATATCTGAACAACATCAACCTATTTATCTCTGGGGAAAATGACTTGAGAGGGTAACATACTATTCCATTTTGTCACATTTGGTCACTAAACTTTTTTTCGTGCTTTAATAGCCATTTAACTTGTTCATTCGTGTAAAATTTCCCCCTATGACTGATTATAGCCGGTTTCAACGATTGCATGGGGCTGATGTGGCTTTTTTTCCTAGGTGGCCAATGAGATGGCATGTAGGCCCCGATTTGCTTCCCATCCTCATTAAAGGTAAGAGTGAAGTCTCGTTTGGTCCTTAAATTCGATTAGGGCACCAAGTCTCATTAACCCCCGATTTTTTCTCCTTCAATATTCAATCGGTCTCTGTAATGGCTTCATCTCAATGTCCCATTGATCGAAACTTCATTGTAGTGGATTTCCACTATAATGGAGCGTTTGCACCCAACCCATTAGTATACTTTGATCCCGACAAACAATCAGTAGGAGATGTTGACTTCAGTGCATTTGAGTACGAGGAGTTCATGGAATTCCTTCAAAAGCTCACCAGAACTAGAAGCAAAGACATTTACTTTTGCCTTCCACAAGAGTCTTTAAGTCAGGGAATTCATACACTGGTGAATGACGGTGATTACAAAGAATTTTTGGATTTGGCTTATGCAAATGAGAGGAGAATGAATGTGTATGTGGACCACTGTAATGAACCAATCTTCGAATGGATTGAGGAAGAGGAAAATGAAGATCAAGACTACAGCTGTGAAGAGGATGAAGACTCAGTATTCTCGGAGACTTATTCTGTTGACCATGAAGAAGATGATGTTGAATATCCATTCCCAGCCAACAAAACCAAGGGTGATAGGTTCTTAAACAAACTTTGTGTAGACACATTAGATGAAGATGTTGAATATGTTGAACCTCGATACCCTGTACATGATGATAGACAACCATGGAATCAGATGAAACCAGTGTTAGGTATGCGATTTTCTAACCCTGATGAGCTTAAAAACATGTTGAGCAACTATGCAGTTGCTGGTGGATATGATCTCTGTTTTGAAAAAAATGACTCCCAAAGGTTTTTAGTTAAGTGTTGCAAAAAAAACAAGTCACCTAATTGTCCATTTAGACTTTGGGCATCTTGGATGAGTAAAGAGAGGACTTTTCAGATAAAATCTTTAGTTAGTGAACATAATTGTAGCAGGGTGTTTAAGTTTGGGTCTATAGTAACTTATAAGTGGTTAGGAAAACAGTTTATGAGTGAAATTATAGAGAAGCCAAAAATCAGTGTTAAGAAGATGAAAGCTAAAGTTTCAACAACATTCAATATAAATGAGAGTGAGGGGCAATGCAGAAATGCAAAGAAATTTGCATTACAAGAAATTGAAGGAAGTCTAATTGAACATTATGGGAGATTATGGTCATATGGTCATGAAATTCTGAGGACAAACCCTGGGTCTACTGTGAGGATGGATGTAGACATCATGCCAGATTCCACAACTTTTTTTTCTAAGTACTATGTCTGCTTTAAAGCTATAAGTGATGGTTGGAAGGAAGGGTGCAGGCCTGTGATTGGCCTTGATGGTTGCTTTCTAAAGGGTATTGTGAGGGGAGAAGTTTTGGCAGCTGTAGGGAGGGATGCAAACAACCAAATCTACCCTATAGCATGGGCTGTAGTTGGAGTTGAGAACAAGGCCACATGGAAGTGGTTCATAGATCTTCTCATGGATGATATTGATGGTGGTCTTGGTGCAGGCATTACCCTTCTTTCTGATGGACACAAGGTGAGCATTGGTTCATATTTATACATATGTTTTATGCATGTTTCATTAATTTTGTTGTTGTTATTTGTAGGGGTTGCTACAAGCAGTAAAAGAAAGGTGTCCAGAAGCTGAACACAGACAATGTGCCAGGCACATTGTGGCTAATTTTACTAAAAGGTTTACCGGTCAACATTTCAGGAAGCTTTTTTGGAGGTCTGTTAGAGCTAGTACTGAACAGAAGTTCAAACATGTAATGGAAAACATCAAATCTTTAGATACTCAAGCATATCAGTACCTTATGGACAGAGATCCTAGTAGCTGGTCTAAGGCATTTTTTAAAGAGGGCAGAGATTGTGATGCAGTTGAGAATGGGGTGAGTGAGAGTTTCAATTCTGCTATTAGGCATGCTAGAAGGAAACCAATCATCACTATGCTAGAGGAGATTAGGATATTTGTGATGGAGAGGATATACACTCTTAGAGTAGAAGGAATTGAATGGGATTTGAATATTTGTCCAAGTATTAGGAAGCGTATACAAGATTTGAAGGTTAAACAGAGGTAACATGTAGTTTTACAATTCATCTATCCAAGTATTAGTTTGTGTTATTAGTTATTAATTTGTAGTCATTATTGCCTTATACAGATTGTGGGGGGTTACTCCTTGTGGTTATCAAAAGTATGAAGTTAGGTTCCATGATGCAGCATATGGAGTAGATCTAATTGCAAAGACTTGTGCATGCAGAATATGGCAACTTACAGGGATACCATGCTTACATGGAGTAGCTGCAATCTCTTCCCTGAATCAAGATGCAGAAACATATGTGTCCCAATCATACAGTAAAGAGGCTTATCTAAAATGCTATAATTATAGCATTAACCCTCTCAATGGTAGTGATATGTGGGAAGAAGTTCCTTATCGAAAGCCTTTGCCTCCCAAAAGAAGAAGATTACCTGGTAGGCCATCAGTGAAAAGGAAGAGGGATGCAGTGGAAAGGGAGTTGAGTGGACCAGTTAGACATTATGTGACAAGAAGGGGATCCCTGATAAAGTGTAGTATTTGCAAGGAACCAGGTCATAACTAGAAAAAGTGTCCATCTAAGCAGCAAACAAATACATCAGGTAAATGTCCCAATTATCTGAACATAATACATCATTTTGATATGTAATCTTAAGACTTCAATTTTTTTGCAGCACCAAGTTCATCCAGGGATAGTGGAGCAGGACCAAGTCAACCACCAGCAACAGCCGAACCACCTCCACCACCACCACCAGTAGCAGCCCAACCACCTCCACCTCCACCTCCACCACCACCACCACCACCAGCTGCAAGGCCTGTCCCAAGAAGGGCCCCAATTGGTAGAACTGGACGGAGGAAATATTCTGAAAGGATTGTCAAAATGGCATTGAGGAGGAACATACCTGGGGTTGGGAGCAGTGCAGAGAACCCTGCAGTCCTTAATTAAGTAGTTGTGTAGGTAGTGGGTGGGCACATCTTTTGTTATCAAGTTGTGATGTAAAGACAATAGTATGTGTTATTTATGCTTTTCTTTTGGGTTTGTGGGCACATGGTGGCCCTTCTTTTGTGGTCCCTAGGATGAATCTTTTGTCCTATCTTTTGTGTATGCAGACAACTATTCACCCTTTATTTAATTTAGAATATTGATGGAGTATTTGCAATGAATTCAACCACCGTATTCAATTAGTTTCTTATTATTTCTATGCATTATTGTCTCAATGATTCCATTATAGTCAAAGAATGGAATACTATATTGTTAGATAATATGACAGTTAACTAGTTTTGACTACCAAGGGTAGTTTCGTCAATTCCTATTTTCTAATCTGTTACAAGTTATTTAAACATCTTGATGTGTAATATTATTAACTGAAATATGACAGTTAACCAGTTTTGACTACCAAGGGTAGTTTCGTCAATTCCTATTTTCTAGTCTGTTACAAGTTATTTAAACATCTTGATGTGTAATGTTATTAATTGAAGGAAGTCTAATTGAGCATTATGAAAGATTATGGTCATATTAGCTAAGATGTTGACTGGAATTAGCTAAGCTTTTGACTAGAGTTAGAAAGATGTCTTTGATGTGTAATGCTATTAATTGTACATATATGCCTTCATTCCAGTCAAAATTACTACTTTGTGATTCCATTCCAGTCAAAATTACTACTTTGTGATTCCATTCCAGTCAAAATTACTACTTTGTGATTCCATTCTAGTCAAAATTACTACTTTATGATTCCATTCCAATCAAAATTACTTCATTCCATTCCAACAAGAAGTTAAGATAATACATTCATTCCATTCAAACAACATCTTTCAATACATCATTCACATCATTTCATCATATACACGATGATCAAAAAAAGAAATCCTATGGTAAACTTATATATTTTTTCCTTCATTGCAATGGCATCAGAGTACTTTTCCTTCTTCATTTGTTCCATGTCTTCCTTCACCTTCTCTACTTCGGTCTTTAATGCTACTAATTCAACTTTCATTCCCTCCACCACTTCCATTAGAGGCATTTCTACAGGTTCTACATCCAACCATTTCCAATATTTGCATTTACCCTTCAACACAAATAACTCATAATGAGATTTCAAATTAGGAAAAAAGAATCAGAAAAGGGAGAAGATTCAAGTGAAATAGTTTACCTCATTACACACCATGAAATGCCTCCCTGGATTCTTTGGTGTTTTTGATGTTAGAATACGTGCAGGGAACCCACAATCACAAGTTTTTGTATCGTGCGCAGTTGATTTCTTGCTTGATCGATTGAGGGATGATGAGAAGCTGTAGGAGGAAGCCATCGGGGGTATTACGGCACAATCAAGGAACCGCATACACCCCTCTTTTAATAACATAGCCTTACATGCCACGTAGGATCTTACTGGCACGTAGGATGGACCTGTCCATTGAAACCGGCAAAAAGCAGTCGTAGGGGTGACATTTACACGAATGAACAAGTTAAATGGCTATTAGAGCAAAAAAAAAAAAAGTTTAGTGACCAAATGTGACAAAATGAAATAGTATGTTACCCTCTCAAGTCATTATCCCTTTATCTCTGCCATTTTTACAATAAACAGGAAACCGTCAATCGATTTCTGAATATAAGATGTCGGGATACGGAAGAGGAGAGGAAAAGAGAAGAGGGGATTAGCAATGGACGATTAGGTTTCGAAGGATGCCGATGCAGGAGGAGGGAGATGTATGAATCACTAACCGATCAAACTCTGGGCAAAGTAAATGCAGAGCGTATTTGTGTTTCTTGGCATATACATGCGAGTAAAAATTGAAGCGGTGTATATCTGATTTGAAGGAAGACGACGTCTTTAAAAAAGCGATACCCATGGATGCACATCAAACCCGACCAAATGTACTCCAGATGTCATTGATGTTCTTGTTAGGAAGGAAGACAAACTTGTTATTGGAGGGAACCAGAATCACCAAGTCATTGGATCTTTCACCGTAGAGAAGGTGAAATGTTGAAGAGAAGAGAAGAAGAGACGTTCGCACGTTGCGTCGATTAGAATTTAGGGTACGTGACGTAGTTGGAAATGGGTGAATTTGATGTAGAAGGCATTAGAATAAAAGGGTTTTATATATATATATATATATATATATATATATATATATATATATATATATATATATATATATATATATATATCATTATTATATATAAAAACCTTATTTATCTCGTGCCTCCTAAATTATAACTACAAGGTTCTTTTGACGCCACGTATCCTACCTTCTAAATGACGCCGTGGATCTTGAAGGAGTGCATTTGGCCGGATTTGATGTAGATGTAGATCCATTAGATCCATGGGTACCGTCGCCTCTCTTGAAGACACTGTTTCATCTTGGACTCCCCTTAATCCGCCAACAAACATATATACCGTCTGCATTCATCTACCGATTCTCTTTTCCTAATCACAATTCTTCATCCAGTTTAATTTGTTCGATTGGTGATTTATTCGTCTCCCTCCTCCTACATCAACAATTGACACCGGTGGGTACCCTAATGTTTTATCTTCAACAATCAACAGCCGTCCAAATAGGTGAGTTTGATTATGCCAATTTTTTATTTATTTGATTTTTTACGTTTTCTTTAACGATTGACAGTCGTCAATTCATTTTTTGTTTGAACATAATCGGGAATTTATTCTACAGTTTGAAAAAAGCTTCTGGATTTTTTGTGCCTCTCTGTAATTAGTTTTCACTTGAAGAACCCTAAAACAAAACCACTAATTTACAAGGGAATATGGACCTCTGTTTTGAAAAAATTTAGTGGTTCGCTTCAAATTTCCAATTTCTTATAGATTATTTCATCAAATTCTGATTTTCTAACTCATAATTTGTAGGTTCAATCATCATGTTCGACAAACCCACCCCATGGCTCAAATCATTGTTGTTTGAAAAATTCTTCAATGCTTGCATAATTCAGCAAAATGAAATAAGAATATGATAAAAGTATGAAATTCTTTTCTACTCACTTTTTAACTATATACCTTTTATAATATTAGTAAACTAAATAAGCAACGTCAAATGCATAGGCTAATTTGATGTTCGTGTTGGGAAGATACTTGGACAAATGTTATTTTTTAGGAAATAATGTCTATTGGTAACTATAATTTATTTGTGACAAATTTGGTTGTTTTAGTGGTCAAACATGGGTATGGAATACTAGCAAATCACAATTCAGCCTTTGAAAACCCACTGCATGCTTCGCTCATGCCTTTCATCTCCTGCTTGTCTGTTTTAGTTAAAACCTCATCTTGCCACCTATTAAGTTAATTATAATTTCCTATTAAGTACACCATTGTAATTGTAGACTGATATCCTAGATGCTTTCTATGTATTTGACATTATTTCAATTGATTTATGTGTATAATATTATGTGCGGTGTTCACCACTATAATGTTGTCATAGAATATACCAGAATGCATATTTATTTGTGTATCGAATTTCACAACATATAATCAAAGAAGATCCATAAAGATCAGGGCTATAGTCCATAGATCACCTTAAGTTGGTCTGTTGGGAACTCTTATCTTGTTATTTATATATTGATGGATTTGCATATTTATTATCGGATCTTTTTCACCTATCCGTTTGCAATCCAAGTGTTCCGGTTAAGACCTCATATCAATAATCACCAGAACAAGCAAAAAGTTCACAAAGTTTAGAGAATGGAAGGATGTACGGGGGGAAAGATGTGGTATGCAATCAACCACAAATTTTAAATTACTTACACATTTGGATTTTTTTTAATTGGATAGTCAATCACACACCTTTTATTTATGTTATCAAGGTAAGGAATGAAATCACTCTCATTCTTTGAGGTGATAACACAATATTTTTTTGATGTGTCATTTATGCAATGACTTTAGCATTGGTTAAATTATCTTGTAGCGTAAACTACTATTTTTGTGCACCCTTTGTTTATGCTGAATTCACTTCAGTGTACTACCATAGATTGATGTAAGCACACACTTTATTAACACTAGGAACCATAATTAAAAAGCTAAGATTCACTAACTTTTCTTTCCTATAGTTATTCTACTTTATTTTGTGTCATATTTGGCATCTTTTTGGCTTTACTCTATCTCCAGTTATGTTTTTATGTTTTTATTGTGGTAATAGCATAACCACATTAGTGTATAATTTGAGCTGAAATAGTGTAAGCCTCTGCCAATGACAATCTAAAATAATGATAGAGAACTTTGTTTTACCTTTTGAACTAGAATCAACAATCACATGAATATTGTCATTGTATTATGAAACATATATAAAGTTAGTGCAACATGATGATATTAAATATATACAATATAATTATGTTTATAATCTTAGTAAGAGAAGATCGGATATAATCATAGTTAAAAGTTTGATGAAAAAAAAGAAAAAAAAAAAACAAATCAATGAAACTAAAGAACGGTTTATCAATAAACATATCCACCACACTAAGGAAAAAACATCACAGTTTCAGAGAGGTTAACGACACAACTTGTTGATTATTTACCCACCATGAGGATGTAAACTTTTATATTTTAGTGTGTTATATGTTCGAATATACAAACACTATAAAAATCATAAGATTCTACCTTATTGTTTTAAAATACCCAAATTACCCTTCACAGGTGCTGCTTAGCCACGAGCCACAAAATTTGACTATGAACTTCTACAACAATCTTGCAAAAAATATGAAATTGAACTCTTATTTACTTTGTTATAAGAATATACTTCCATTTTCCTTTTCTTACTCATGCAGTGACATTAAAAATCGATGCATTTTCATTAGCGCATTATATTTTACATTATGGTAAAAGAATTACAATTACCTTCCGTGGACCGTGCTTAGCACGGGTTGGTAATTTTCTAGTGTATATATATATATATATATATATATATATATATATATATATATATATATATATATATATATATATATATATATATATATTATATATAGGTTCAGGTTCATTTGAGATCATTCTAATTTTGTGAGACCGTGAGACCAAATTTAAAAATAATTTTAAAATGCAAAATAAATGGAAAAATCCAAAAATTATTTTTTTAAATATTATTTTCGGAACTTGAATTAACTAAAAAAAATATAAAAAAATATAAAAAATTCGTTTTTTTTTTTTTGAAAAATACGTGAAATATTCTAAATAGAATATTACACTGACATATTCTAAAAAATAATTTTAAAATGCAAAATAAATGGAAAAATCTAAAAATTCTTTTTTAAATATTATTTTCGGAACTTGAATTAACTAAAAAAAATAAAAATAAAAAAAAATTCTATTTTTTTTGAAAAATACGTGAAATATTCTAAATAGAATATTACACTGTACATATTCTAAAAATAATTTTAAAATGCAAAAATAAATGGAAAAATCAAAAAATTCTTTTTTTAAATATTATTTTCGGAACATGAATTAACTAAAAAAATAAAAAAAAATGCGTCTCACGGTCTCACAAAATATAGGTGGTCTCAAATGAACCTAACCCTATATATATATATATATATATATATATATATATATATAATATATATATATATATATATATATAATATATATATATATTATATATATATAATTTGGAAATTTAACTACAAAACAAAAACAAAACAAAATCCAAAAAAAACTGAAGATGCTCTTTTTTAAAAGAAATAGACATCCGGAACACTTGTGTAAATATTTATTTTGGCTAAAATCACAATCCTTGCATAGAAAGCAACATAAAAATTTATTACGTTTTAATCGTTTCTTAAACATGGCAAAAGAAATAATAATTGCAGCATTTTATTTTTTTTTGCTGAATTACCAATTCCTTAGACTATTTTAGGGAAACTTCCACTATAAATGCCTCTTAGCTATTACAATTACAAACACTACACTCACCAATTACTATTAGTGTATTACTAAACTATATCAAGTGCTAGCTGCTTTCGAGATGCATTTACTGTGTTACAGGAATTCCATCGTATTCTCACACTTAACAACACGTAAGATTGAATTTTTAATATCCAATGATCTTATATTTTGCTTATTAATGATAATCTTATTGTCGATTTCAAGCTAAACCACACAATGTTTTTGCTCAATGGTGATTACCAAAATGTTGAAAAAATCCCCCATGAATGGTGATGTTCCTTTGAGAGTCAATTTCCCTAATCAAAAATCACAAGTCCCTAATTCTCCTAATGGTGATGCATCGCTGGATCTCAACAAAGATCCAATGGTGTCAGGATCGTCTGAGGAGTCTGGTGAATCCACATCCAATGAAATTCTTCAAACAGTGGCGATTGGAACCGAAATTGGCTTCCAGATGGGGGTTGACAATCCCATCTTAACGGAAGTATTAGGGGGTAAGGGAGTTCAAACTAATAACCAATGAATTTCCTATCGCTGAATGTGAGAGGTGTGGGTGAGGTGGCGAAAACTAGCTGGGTAAGAAGGCTGAAAGTGAAACACAAAGCGACTTTCGTTGGGTTACAGGAGACGCAACTGTCGTCCTCTTCAAGTATTGATGTTGACGGTT